TTAAAGATAAAGATGCTTTATTGTCATTGTACAAGTACAATGAGATTTCGTGAGGGTGAGGTGACGTGCCATTCTGATTGGTTTATTGCTTGTCACGCCTAAAATAGAACACATTTTTTTCGCCATGTGCTGCCGCAAAGTCTGGTTTTTCCGACATCAAAATAGGGAGATGGATTTAGACACGCCTATAATTGTTCGTTCTGCTTTGTTTTTTACACGTTACGTTAGATCGTCAAAATAGAACCTTGGTCTTATGAACACAGTAGCTCTAAAAGTATTGTACTTTTAAAACTTTGCAGGTGACAAACTGCAAGTGGTCAAATTTTGAGACAAATCGTTCCAAAACTGAAGCAACGGTGTTTAGTAACAACAAAGAGAAGGATGGGATGATTAAAGGCTCATCATTATGAACAGGGTAAATCTGTTACAACTTCACAAAAACATTATATGGATGAAAATCTTAATCTAAAAATGTACACTTATAATCAGATCCAAGATTAAATGCAATGACAGTTGGGCAGCAAATTTGTAACTGCAAGACAGATGGCAGACAAGAGCAAAAATCTTGTGAACAAAGCTATCTGCCATCTAAACTTATTTTGTGTATGTTTTTGGAAATGTTTTGCAAAGTTGTTCGCACAATAACTCAAAAAGTATTTGACAGATTTTTGTCAACCTTTGCAGACATGATGTTAGAGTGAAGATTTGGACCTGATCAAATTTTGAGACAAATCGCACCAAATTGAAGGAACCTTGCTAGGTCACAGCAAAGAGAAGGATGAGTTGATAAGTGGCTTGACCTTGAAAACAGGGTAGCTTCTAACTTCTCCAAGATAAACCCCAACTCAACTCAAAATTGGAACTGCACAACAAAATGCAGCCAAGGGTCAAAACGGAAGCTGTGGCCACCATGTTGTGATCACAGCCATCAACCATCTAAATGAATTCTTTGGATGTTTTTGCAAACTTCCCAGGATCATTGTACAGCTCAGTGATTCTGAAACTGGGGTACGCAAGACGATTTTCAGAGAGTTCTGTAATTAATTTTATATTGTTCTATTCGCCACTAGTGTCTGTTTTGCAAATTTTATTGGTAGCTGTTTGGCAAAATGTATCATGGGGAATTCTGCAAAAAAAATTTTTTTGGTTAGATATGTGCTTTGGGATGTGAAACAGCACAATATGTGTGTATTGCGTGTAAATGACCCTTAAGCGCATTCTGCCACTGACTTAGTGCACTTAAGTGGAGTTTTCACTACATGCTCTGCGGGGCTGTATTGAATCATGCACCTCTACATGCCCAAATGCAGTATTGCAGTTTTCATAAAGCTGAACATGTGACAAAGCTAAACTTTCTAACATATCATACATTTAGAAACAAAAGTTACAGTCTACTGCATATACTAAGCATATTATCATTAGGCAGGATTCAAGTGACATCTGCGCTGTCAACATGTCTAGTAGGCGAAGGAATTAGGCTAAACAACTGGACTATTTAAAAAAAATCTTTTAATTAAAATGAGCAAAAAAATAGATTGAAAGGAAGTAGTTTAGGCCTATCCGCACAATCCCAAGCCTACCTCATCTGTTACAAAAGCTCATCAATAATACACTTTAGGTTTATATTTGTTGATTCTGTTCGTCATGGAGTGTAACCTACTATTTTTTCAACCCGAAACTTAATCACTATCAGATGCCTTATATCTGTTATCTTGCACTCCTTAAATAAATCGGGGTGAATGAGAGATTGATGCTTCACCAAGTTAGACATATTGCCCCCTTGTAGGAGCGTTTGCACACTGGGACTGTTGGGTCTGAGGATTCACCCTTTTCATTTGGCTTAAAACCGAAATGATGCCGTATCTCAGTTTTGCCACCTTGCTTATCAATTTGAGGTGGGCAGTGAGCGATAGCAGTTTCCATCTTCCGTCTATGTAGCTTCTCTGTGCAAGAGACACTTGATATGAGTGTGACTGTCTTTCCTTAAAGAGTCGGGAAGTATATTTCCGTTATCGACATATAGTACTGATATCGGTATATCGCTGTTGCATTTCCTATAAACACTGTCCTTGCCTTCTGATAATAGATGCTTTCCTTTAATGATTTTTTTCCTTTCTCACTCTTTTCTTAGGAAAGGCTGTAGGCACAACCTTAGAAGCACACAAAAAGGAGTTTCCATAGCAATGCTGCACAATTTAAAGGCACACACAAAAAAAACACACACATTACTGCACCACACTTGAAATACCATCCTCTGGGATCAATGAATGGGTTAACAATGCTGGCCTCAATTTTAATAGCTCCAGGCCAGAGGCCTATCACTGGGGCCAATGTACTGATTTGAAACCACTGATTAGGGACGGAGAACAGAAATAAAAAAAAATTCCGTCCTATTTTGCGATTAACTGCGAAGTGGTTTTTTTTTTATTGATTTAACTATTGTTCATTGACTGAGGGCTTCCTGTCATGTTAGTAAGATATGCTTTTCAGCTCACTATGTGCCAAGACAGAATCAGATTCAGGCTCAAAGCTGCTGAATGATTTTCTGATAAACATTATCCCCAGGGTTGTCCCTTTGTGTAAAAAAAAAAATACTGAGTAATGAAGACGTGCTGTCCAGGTAGCACACGGGATGACATCACCAATCAGCCGCAAGACGATGTCGTAGGCTTTCACCGGCCACGCTTGCTATGTCCATAGCTTTGCCACTGTAAGAGCTGGATGAGGCAACCTTTAGCCACATGGTGCGAATGTATCCAAAGGTGTTTTTGGAAATTCTACTGCCCTGGTCCTGTCCTGGGATTGTAAAGAGCTATCATGCATTTTGTTATGTGACCAACTATAGCAAATGCTGTGTCATGTTTGGCTTGCTGGCAAACTGAATTGCCTGGGGAAAATGTTCCCAATTCTGGGCAATTCTAGGATTTTTTAAGGTGTGGGGGGCATAAGAGGGACCATAATTCATACAGGGGGTCAGCCTTATCATGAATCAATGATATTTTTTGTAATGGTGAAAGAGAGGGGAACTTCGGGAGCCAATCAGCTGTGGCCCCGCCCCTGTCCCTATTTCATTTACATCTGTGCCCAGCTTGTGCACATTTCATATTATTGTAAACGTGAGACTCCAGCTGTACACATGGTGCATGCCAATTCACCAAGAGGGAAATGCCTTTTGTGTTTCTTTTCCCCAGCTAAACCTCTTAGAGATGCTGTTCATAAAACAAAATTGATATTGATCTGTCCTTTGAAGGCAATGAAAACATTTTATATTTGTAATATATGGTTATTCACCTGTATGGTGAATATATGGTGTACCTGTAATCAGAAGGTCGCCCGTTCAAACCCAGCCTCAGCATGTCTGCGGGTCCTTGAGCAAGGCCCTTAACCCCCCCCCCAACTCCCTGGGCACCACTACGGGTGGCAGCCCTTCGCGGACAACTTACTCTACAAAAAAAAAAGAGCAAGTTGAGGGAGATGTAAAGACAATTTCCCCAAGGGGATCAATAAAGTATCGATTATTATTATTATTATTCTGCTTCTTATGGGAAAGATGCAATGTTACATTAAATTCAATTCAATTTTATTTATATAGCGCATTATCACAACATTACATTGTCTCAATGCGCTTTACATTTCTGCCTCGTAAGGACCCCCCATTGAGTAAGCCAAAGGCAACGGTGGCAAGGAAAAACTCCCTAAGAGGAAGAAACCTTGGTAGGAACCAGACCCNATAAAAAATCATACATTTTTTAAAGAATTAATTTTGCAGTAAAGCCAACATGATGACTGTGTGCCTAGTTCGTAATCTTGCACATTATAATGTCATGTGTTTCTTTTTTACTTAATGATTGCTTTAGGAAGACATTCAGGGCTGGGTTTCCCTTCTCTGTTATCTGAGCCTTGAGCTTTAGGGAGACCTTCACTACACTAATGTGATAGATGTACCATGGCACTGTGGAGTTATCCAATAGTCTAGCAGGCTGTGGTCTGCTGTGAAAGTGCTTCTCTACGGCCCCCATGTGGACTTTAGTATAATGGCACTTTAAGGCTTAGCGGAAAGGCAAGCAGATGCTGTCTTAAAAGTTATACAATTTTGTTTTTTGTTTTTTACAAATATATACTATATTTTATATAAACCCACACTGAATATTGTAATACATATACAAATTATTTATAATATATAATAATATAATATTTTATTATGTATATAATATATATATTTTTGTCTTATCTGGTTACTCTGCTATGTCCCATGTAGTACTTTTATTGTATTTGAATTATTGTTTGTATTATTATTATATACAATAATATTAAATTAACTGATCATGTTCAGAATATAACTCGGAAACTGTTGCTTTGCACGCATTTGTAATAAATATGATTTTTTTTTTGGTACATATAAGGAACAGAAAGTTAAAATAAAGCCTCTATTTTAGTTTCATCAGTCTTATTCACGTTAGTAATTGTTTCAGCGAGACTAAGGTGCTCTGGGGAGGGGCTGCATGTCACATCATGAGGCACAGAAAGCAGCTTCAGCAGCAGCTCTGCACAGCAGGGGAGGAAGGGTCTGGCCTGTGGGGAAATAGCAAGGAGCGTGTCCCTCGCTAGGTGTAGCCAACCGCCGTTGTGTGTGTTTCCTGTGTGCTCCTGCCTGCAGATTCATAGCCTGCTGGAGATTCCACACAGGTTTTCCCATTTTGTTGTGTATGAATGGTAAATAGTTATAGATGGCTAAACCTCGCGCGCACACAGGTAAATCATTCAGAAGGATTTTACTGAGACTTTTATGGTCTGACCCATGTAGGGATGCTCCAAGGAGCAATTTAAAAAGAAAAGTTTTCTCTTTACATTGTGCAAAAATGGGAACAAAACAAATATTGATATGTAGAGTATAATGAACTTCTTAATGAGAGATATTAATGATTGGCCATTCTTCCACCAATAACAGCAGGTCTATTTCAAATTGCACGTCAGTTTCAGCTTTACCTCCTTTCTTCTAGGTGGCGATAATCGCAGGGAACTTTGAACTGGCTGAACTGATTAAAAAGCACAAAGAAACCGACATAGGTAAGGAAACCTCCCGCATTAATTCTCACAGTGTAGATTCATTTGATAGGTTAGAAGACCTTGCTTGCCATATGGATTTTCACTTTTATTAATTGTTGTTATCACAGGAATTCTCCTATTGGTATTAATACAACAGCTGACACTTTCTTCTGTTTAAGGGCCAGTTTCACTGCCCTGATTTTAACATTAGGAGGCTTTACTTGAACCTTCTCCCTCCTTTTAGGGTTTCTGGGGCAGCAGCCCACTAAGGTTAATCTCTCTCTAGGTATCTCTGTATATACCCATCCCATCTGTCATGGGGGGGGAGGCCTGTGTGGAAAAATCCATGTCTGTCCCATTGAGGGGAACAGTATCAAAACAGGGTATCTCTTTGTGATTCCCCACTGACAAGTCAAGCACCAGCTAAATAGTTTAATCGCCTCATACGTTGGATTAAGGTTGTATAGGATGGGAATAAAGTCTGCTGATATATGCAGTTGTATCTCAGCTCTCCGCAGCTCTTCCACGCCAAATGAAAATTAGCACAGGATTAGAAAATATAGAGCTAATTGTCAGCTAGCGTGGACACCATGGGCTGAAATTCAGGATGTAGTTTAGCAGCTATGAGCTTCTGTGGGCCAAAGTGATCCCTGGACGTTATGGAAGACTGATGGATCGACATCATGCTTCCTGTTCAGATGCTGCATACAGTGTAATTGGAATCTCCTGTAAGAGCATTAGTTGAGGGTGTTCAGTCTTCCCTAGTGTTACTTCTCATTAACTGTCACAAGGAAAAGCACCAATTATTTTATTCTGTGTTCATTCCATCAAGTCATGCTGTAACATTATTATGGTTGCCATATATACCGGTATATGTTCCGGTTCTAATATAGTTCTGAATTACATTTTAGGTGGAATTTATTATATTTTACCAAGCATTTTACCAAAAGATTTAAAATGAAAATGTCCTTTTGCTATTCTTCGAATCTGCTGAATTATCCATTTTCAGCCAAGAATGCCAGTTGTACTTCTACATACTATTGTAAAAATATATGGGTAAAATGATACTGCTGTACTGCTGTAAATGCATTTATAGCCTCATTGGTACAAAGTGATCTTTATTACATATTGTGTTATCTGTATGTAATATTCTTAATGGAGATGGCATGTCTTTTTATGTAATTAAGTTTAATGTATAAATTGGAAACTACACAAGGTCAGCATGTTCTGCATATTTTTTCAGTTTTACATACAAGGACATGTACAGATTCAAAATCAAACAGCTGGATGTATCCAGACGTCGAAAGCACAACTAAATTTAAGGCCAGTTTTAAAATGTTTCACAGATTGTAGCCAAAATAATTCATTGATATTCACAGTGAACTCAAGGGCAATGCTTTAGACGCTTTATTATGCTGTGTTTTGTCCTTTTCGGATACATAATGAAAGGTGTCAGTAGAAGAAGGTGGAGATCAAGATTGCCTCTTAAAATCCCATCTGTCGTATTTTTTCTCTATAGCTTCCAACTTTATCCTGGTCTCTTCTGTTCCCTTCATGTAGAAATCTGAGGTGTAAAATGTATGGCTGGAGTTGTGAGCGCTGGCAGTCTCAGAAGTGTCATGAATTTGCTGCAAATTGCCGCAAAGTGAAACTGACGTAGAGAAATGCAGCGAACGTGATACTTTATTTGTGCTTGATGCTGCCTTCGCTTTCTGAACTTCTTCTTTATCAGATAAAGGTTTGTTTCATTTCACATGAAAATATTATTAATGAGCTTAGGTTTGCGACACTCCCATGTGCACTTACATTTCTGTCACAGACTCCTGGCTTTTATTTAATGCCAGCACTCCCTGCCTCTCTCTGTCTTTCATATCATATGTTAAATACTCCATATTTGCCATAATTAAAATGAACTAGCCTTGTTTATTGGGTTATCATATTGGATTGAGATAATGAGATCTCAGTGTTCACAGATATGTGATGCATGGTGCAGGTTTTGTGCCCTGTAGCACACCAATTTATAGTGAAAGATCGCAGCTCTAAATCTGCACTCCCTAGTCAAGTATGTAAATCGCTGTTCCTCTTAGCAGCACCCAGTGGTTACCATGGTGCCCATAGCCATGTGATAATTGGTTGGAGGGATCTAGCTGATGCCTTATTGGTAATCCAAAAGGAGGAAGTTGCCATTGAAGACAGATTAAAAGACGTGTGTGATCATCCTCCTCTCAGGAAGCAGCTCTTTAGGTATTAAATCCTAACAAACAGCCAGTAATGTTCTTATTACTGTGAGGATTTGGAAAGGTGTTGTAAACCTTTTGATTAAACAGTAACCATGGGAATCCACCTTGCCCTGCTGTATTCTCTACATGTATTTGGTATGATGTGACCTTAATAGTGGGTAATGCTTTACATTAACTGCAGCTTCATAATGCATTCATTATGCATTCATAGAACATTTAGTGCACCTTCATAATACATTCCTAGAACATACCTAAGCAGCTGGTAATCGAACCTTAACATCGGAACATGCTTTAACAGCTTTACTCTACATTTATAGCAAATACCATATGATAATAGAAAAATGATATGCATGTTATTAATGTATATTAAAGCTGTTAAGCTACTGTATAAGCTATGCTTCTATGCTGCTTATGAATGTTCTATGAATGCACTATGAATGTATTAAGAAGGTGCACTGAATGTTCTGTGAATGCATTATAAAGGCATTACTGTATCTATAAGTGTTGTTAATATTAAGCGTTACCTAATAATGTATTTGATGCTAAATCTTATTTTGCATTCTGAGTAAGGATGTGAGCATAGGTGAGCTACTGTAAAGCAGGTCACAGTCCAGAGGAATAGCAAGGCTGCTGTGCCACTTTTTTAAGTCATGCTGAGTGTGACACAGCTCTGCTAGCATGCAAATTAACTGCAGGGAAAATGTGTTCCTCTCAGATTATCAGAGATTAATGCCTCCTGGTTTTTTATTCTAGTAAATGTCCAGGGAGATAACCCATAGAGATTATTAGGGTTTATTAATATCAGAATGGTTATTTATAGGGATCACACGTTCTTGAAGGGTTATGTGACCTTTCAAGACACAAGTAGTCCAAATTAAAGACTGTCCTTTTCAGAAGCCATCAGTCCATCTATGACAAGGTTCCAGTTAGATGGAGTTTGTCCAAAATCCCAAAATTAAGGCTTATCCCTATAATCCCTTGCACCCTCTTACAATTTCATGAAGAACCATGTGGAGTAGGCATGGCTGATCGGAAGACCTTGTCAGGGGTGCAACACAGCAAATTTGAGCAGGTCAGGAACCTGCTGAAGTTTGAGCTTCAGCTGCATTATCCTAACCTTGAACGGAGGTCACCCTGTGGAATTAATTGAATCTGTAGGGTCTTTGGTGGAGGCACCAAATCTGTTATTATTATAGCAAAATGTTTTCTCAGAAAGCAGGTGCCGGATATCGCTGCTATCCTGGTGTGAGATGTACGTGTAAATGAAAGTAGAACAACTATGGCGTTCGGATGGGGAAACAACAGGTGTAAATCGGTAAATACATTTCCTTGACTTTTATCCTCCCATGAAATGCCTCCTAGCGATTGACAGCTCAATTACAACTCATGATGCAGGTTTGCTATAATCTTTGGTGAAAAAAACACAACAGTGTCACTCATTCTGGTGTGGATACCTGGAAAGGCACCCATATTGGTAACTGTCTGAGAAAAACTGGAATACATCTCCCTCAAACATTCCAGAAGTGCCAGCTGTTTATTGCTCTGGCATATTTTGACAGCAGTTGACATATATTCAGCTGGACTGTACAATGTATTGCAATTACTGTACAACAGCACTGCAATTTTCTTACACAGATATGAATGCATTAATAAAAGCTATTGTTCAAAATCTATTCAGAAATGTGCCCATGCTCCTCAACAGAGTTACAGTTTGTGTTTATTGATCTGTATATATATAGCATGTTGGGTGGCACAGTGGTACAATGATTATAATGGGTGTCTCACACCTTTGGGACTGGGGTTCGAGTCTCTGCCTCAGCTCTACATGTATGGAGCTTGCATGTTCTCCCCATGTTGTTGTGGGGTTTCTTCTGTGTCCTTTGGTTTTTCCCCACAGTTCAGAAACATGCTAAGGTGAAGGGTCAAGTTGCCAAATTGTCTGTAGGTGTGAATGGTGTGTGTGACCTGTGATGGGTTGGCACCCCATCCTGGGTTATTCCCTGCCTTGCGTCCGTAGCTTCCGGGATCGACTCCGGACCCCCATGACAGCTATGGAAAATTAATGGATGGATGGAATTTAGTATGTTCTCCAGAGATGATACATACCCAGCATATATGCCAAATGCACAGTGAGCAGAAGTATGAACTCTTTATACTGAGTTTAGAACATAAGAACATAAGAAATTTGCAAATGAGAGGAGGCCATTCGACCCATCAAGCTTGTTTGAGGAGAACTTAACTAATAGCTCAGAGTTTGAACTGCAGTAGCTGATACATATAATATGTTATAATTTTATATTTCTTAGACACCTCAAGATGAATAACTTGAACAATTTCTTTAGATTTTATTATAGCTGTTATTGTGATTCATTCGCTGCTGAGAAAAGTTATGCATGATGATGAAAAAGTTATCACATTTTTAGATATAAATTGGGAATGCATTGCATTGTAATACTGTAGTTATTGTGCATACATGAATTATGATAATGTACTTGGAATGTTTCTGAGGCAAACCAACTGTAACAAGAGACCCAGTAGAGAGTGTCCTCAGTTTTTTTCCCCGTTAATTCCAAAATGAGACGTATGTTAGCTGTGCCATTTTAAAACTGTAAAAGGAAATGCGTTTTATTTTGCTAAAACATGAAGTCTGTTATAAAAAGTCCTCAATAAAATGTCTGATGCTAAGTGAAAAACAGTGAATGACATTTTGGCACTGGTGTTCTCAAAGAAACATTAATTTTATGTTTGCGATGATAATCGACAATATTGTAACCTCAAACC